GGGAAGTCCCAACCCATAGGCTTTCCACTCTGTGATGCTGGAGGGGCTTCTCATTCTGTTCTTTGCCAGGACCCCTACATAGCAGGCAAAAACTACCTTTAAATAGATATTTGTGTGTGTGTGCTTGCGTGATCTTTACTAATTGAGCCAGAATAAAGGAAACACATTCGACTTTGACATATGGTGGACTTCTCTTGGTCCTAAGCAACAGCAATATTAGGAGCAGAAGGGCCATTTTCGAAGGCAGCACTAACTTTGCTGGGCTTGGCTGGGCCGTGTTGGCAGAAGTGTTCTCAGTGTATGGAAAAATAGTTCAGCCCACTTTTCCATGCCGTAGGAATCACTAGAGGTCAGAATCACTTTGTTCTACTGGAGAATTAGATTCCTAGGTGGGCGCTTTTGTTCAAGAAGTTCAGCACCCAAAGCCTAAAGGGTTTCTTACCTTGGATCACTACAGATGCTTTCTGGATGAGTACTCCTGCCTCATTCTGGGCCAGGCAGCTGAATTCCCCTTGAGACCCACCACTAAGGTTTGCAACCTGAAGGATCTGTCCAGCTGCCAAGACGTGATGCGTCAGTCCTGTGACAGCGGCAACTGGCTGACCACCATGGAACCAGGTAATATTGGGAGTAGGGTGGCCTTTGATGGGGCAGCCTGGAAGGAGAGGAGAGAAGTACGTCATTGGTAAACTCAGAAAAGATATTCTTGGTAAGTTGTTTTAGTGTTTTCAAGGCCCAGAAGAGTGAAAAGTATAAAACTCTTAGAAGGAAACATGGAGTAAAAGTTTCATGACATTGGGTGTAGCAATGGCTTCTCACATATTAAACAACACTAAAAAACAAGTATCTCAGGACACTATCAAGTAAATGACAACCAGTAGAATAGGATGAAGTATTTGTAAACCATAATCTGACAAGTGATTAATATACAGAATATATAAGGAGTTCTTCAAGAACCAACCCACACAGATTAAAAAAAAAGGGCATTTTCTCAAAGAAGATACACAAATGGCCATTAAGCACATGAGAATATCTTCAACTAATCTTTAGGGAAATGCAAATCAAAAACCATGAATAGATACTACCTTAGACTGACCAGGATTACATACATGTATATGTGTGTGTGTGTGTGTGTGTGTGTATACACACATATATAAATAAGTAAATATAATTAGAAGAAAGAAACTATCAAATGTGGGGAGAAATTGGAACTGTTGTCAATTATCAGTGGGAATGTAAATTACTACAGCCACTGTGAAACACAGTGTGAAAGTCCCTCAAAGAATTAAACAGTTAACCACAGGATACAGCAATTCTACATCAGAATATATGTCCAAAAGATTCAAAAGCAAGGCCTTGAAAAGATATTTGTACATGAAGCTTCATAGCATTGTTTTAATGAATTATTTAATTATATTCATTATTATCTTAATTTGACCAGAGTTATCTTAATTTGACCAATGAAAGAGGGGGAAAGTGAGAAAACAAGCTACCAGGTCTGGGACTCGAACCACAGTTGGCCATGAGAGAGTCCTACGCCTTAACAACCATGCCACCTGCCAGCCACATAGCAGCATTTTTCATGATAGCCAAAAGATGAAAACAATCCAAATATCCACTAAAGGATAAACAAAATATCATGTGATAGAATATTATTCAGCCTTAAAAAGGAATGAAATTTGGCCACGTGTAGGAACTTTTTTTTTTTTTGGAGAGGTTTTTGCTATAGGGCGCATATGCTCACCAGACAAGAGAGGGACAGAAAACAAGAAATCACCCCCCGGGGGGATGGCCATGCTGCAATCCCTTCTTCTCCATTCTCCTCTTGGGATCTTGGGCACACATGTACATGCACCCGGCGTGAGTTTAAGCCACTGGGTCCGGGATGCGAACTGCGGTCGACTGCGTGGGAGTCCAGCAACATAGCCATTATGCTAACTGCTGGTCCCCCACATGTAGGAACTTTGAAAACAATCTAGGTGAAAGAGGGCAGATACAAAAGGACCAAGATTGTATAACTTCATTTATACAAGGGACCTAGCATGGTCAAATTCATAGAGACAGAAAGTAGAATACCAGTACCAGAGCCTGAAGGAAGGGAATAGTGGGGAGTTATTCTTTAGTGAGTATGAAGTTTAGTTTGAAATGATGAAAAATTTCTGGAGATGAATAGTGATGACAGTTGTACTGTTGTATGAATGCACTTAATGGTATTGAACAGTAATAGTTAAAATGGTAAATTTTATGTCTACTTCACCCCATTAAAAAATTAGGCTGATGTACTGGTATACCAGTTGCAAATCTAGATCTCAAGAGCTCTTGTGAGTTTTTTTCTTGTGCTCTTGTGCATTCATCATTACAAGAACATGCTGGGGACCGCTGTTAGCATAATGGCTGTGTCACTGGACTCCCATGTAGTTAACTGCAGTTTGAGTCCCAGGCCCAGTGGCTTAAACTCACGCCAGGTGCATGTGCGTGTATGCCCAAGATCCTGATAGGAGAATGGAGGAGAAGGGATTGTGACGTGGCCATCGCCCCTGGGGGGTGATTTCTCACTTTCTCTCTCTGTGTCTTTCAGGCGAGTGCATGCGCCCTATAGCAAAAACCTCTAAAAAAACCCCAGAAAACAAAAAACAAAACAAAACAAAACAAAAAACATGCTGGACAGGCCTAAGGATTCTAAGAGGAAGAAGACAGAAATGTGGAGAACAGCCAGGTCACACCAACCAACTCCATTCTAGACCATTTGAACTAAGTAAGATCAGTAAGAATAAATAATTGTTGCTTTAAGTCACCTAGTTTCTCTCTCTCTTTTTTAATTTTCCTGTAATGCATCTGTGTGTGTGTAGTGATGGCTAACTGATACATGTAGGAAGAAAGAGTCAGAAACTTCTGGCTCTTTCTCTCAACTGAGCTTCTATTCATGTGCTGTCCTGGCCCTTGCTGACCTGTCCAATTTCAAGGTACTCAGGAGAAGCAGGTTCTCCACATGGTGGTGAGGTAGGACATTGGAATCCTAAAAATATAGAGAATAGGCCCACGATGAAATCACAAAATGGCTTAAAGCTCTTAGCAGTTGCTCAGTGATTGACCTAAGCAATATGACCTAGACTAAAGCATTACTTCCCCCGCCCCCAGGCTTCACCACATGTCCTGCTGCAGGTGCTGGGCCCGATCACCCCTGTAACCCTGCATCAGTGGCATCCGGGCATCTACATACCATGAGTCCACGGTTATGTCACTGTACTGCTATGCAAATGAGGGCATGAATGGGCTTAGGGAGAGGTAAACAGAAATCAGCGCATTGAAGAATCTCTTGGGATCAACAGCATGTCCACCCTTCTGCCAAAAAGAGTCAGATGCTGGTTTCATGCAAGAATAGGTATATATGTATTTAGACAAATAAAAAGTGCAGTTGGAAACAAGTACAGCTTCCAGACAGTCTGAAACAGGCAAATGTATGTCTCCTTATCACATCTGCTTTGAAGGAAAGAAGTGCCATGTGCTGTTGAGATGCTGGCCCCATCCATCATTCTGCTTGGTCAGTCTGGACAGAGCTCTGGTGAGGCTGATTAGATTCTAAGTTGATGAAAAAGAAACTCACTATTCCCAAGCAAACAGGAGACATTTGGCCAGGAAATCTCATAGTTACTTCTAATCCTCATTCCCCATTAGGATTTATGAGAGTTAGGCAGAAAAAGGAGTGGTAGCAGCTGTTCTCTGTGGCTGATAAAGTTATTTATCTGGAAGCTAGAAACCTTAGTCAGCTAAATAAGAGGTGTATTTGCATAACAATTACATTCATACTCCTCTTTCCTTGGAATTAGAGGTCAAAGTGAGCAGCTAAGACACTCACTTCTTTCAGTGCATAGCGTCTTAGGTATGTCCCCCGGTCTCCAGACTGCTGCTCCTGGTGGGGATGAGAATGGAGTAGAGACCTTTCAAGGGCAAGCACGAGGGCTGCCATAGATGTGGAATTTCTGGAACTCAGTTTGAAAAAGACCCAGGAGAAACAGCAACTAAGACTGTCTTTGAGAGGTGGCTGTCACAGTAAAGCCTTTCATTTTAAAACTTAACAAGGTGGGGGCCAGCAGATGGTGTGTGGTTAAGGTGCTGGATACCCCCATGGCCGAGTGCCGTTCAAGTCTGGACCTGGTGGCTTGTTTTTTCACTTTTCCTACCTCCTCCTCTCTCTAGTGAACATGCATACCCTACAGTAAATGAAAAAAGAAAATAATATTAAAGTAAATAATTTTATTTTCCCTAGAGAGAGATTTTAGCTCTAGGGTGGGTGTGCTTGCCAGAGAGACAGAAAGTGAGAAATCCCTGCCCAGAGGGATGGCCGGTTACAATCCATTCTAAGCCTCTGTTCTCCTCTCAAGATCTTTGGCATGCATGCAAACATGCCTGGTATGAGGTTTAAGCCACTGGGTCCAGGAGTTGAACTGAGGTTGACTATGTGGGAGTCCAGCAAT